CCGCCAGGCCGAGTTTCAAGCGGAGCAGGAGCGGCTGTCAACTCTGGCCATGATCAGCCCCGCAGAGGCAGAGCGGCAGAGGCAGCGGGCAAGCATCAGCTTTATGTGAGGGCCCAACCGCCGTGACCCGACGTCCCTCCCCTGCCCCGTTGCACCCCCCCCTGCGCTTGGTGGGGACGGTGGTTGGGGAATGGGGGCGCGGCCGGCCGGCCGGACGGCGCGCGCGCCCCCGAGGGGCCCTGCGCGGGGTGTCGCCTCGTGTCCGACCCATCCCGCTGATTTCAAGCGGCGGCGCCCCGCCCTGGGGCGTGCGCAGGTACCAGAAGCCGCCCGGCCTTGAGGCGGCGCTGGCGAGGGATAGGGAGCTCGAGGCCAAGAAGAAGGTGGGGGTGGGGACGCTTGCTTGGAGGGTTGCATGTGTGTGTGTGTGCGTCAAGCGTGTGTGTGTGTGTGTGTGTGTGTGTGTTGAGCGAGCGAGAGAGAGAGAGTGTGTGTGTTTAGCGTGTGTGTGTTTGTGTGTGTGTTGCGAACGTGTGTGTATGTATATGTGTGTGCATGTGGTGCGGGGCCAACGGCCCAAGTCTGCTTTCGTGAGCGCTCACGAGTGCTCCATCATCACGAGGGGCGTGCGAGGCCAAGCCAGGGTCGGCCAACTGCCAGCGTCACATTGGGCCGTCAAGATCTCACGCACCTCGCACCTCCTGCCGGCGCCGTCCCTCCCCGCCATCCCGCAAACGCCACCCGCGCCCTCGCAGCAGCAGGAGGAACAGCAGCAGCAGCTCGCGGCGGCCGGTGGCGCCGGGCCCGGGCCCGCGCCTGCGGCGCCAGGCCCGGGGGCCCCCAGCCAGCAGCAGCAGCCCCCGCCCACAGCGCTCGGTGCGCCGCCGCAGCTGCCGCACCCGCAGCAGCCGCCTGTCGGCCTGGACCGGCTGCGAGAGGACCCCCTCACGTCGCTCATCGCGGCGCGCGCGTCGCTGGCGCGCAGCGACCGGTTCGTGCTCAAGTCCTCTGCGCGCGAGGGCGTCCACGGCGGTCTCGCGGCGGGCGGGGCCAACCAGGAGCTGCTGGCGGACGAGCCTGAGGCGGCCGGCGCGGCGGAGGAGCCGCAGGACGGTGCGCGGCCGCGGCGGGCGTCGCATGCCTGCCCGCATGCCGCTCGTATCTACTGCATGCTGCATGCCATGTGGGTGACGCGGACGGTTTGTTGTGTTGTGTTGTGCGATGCGTGCTGCAGCGGCTGCTGCAGCGAGTCGGAGGGAGGGGCGCGCCCCCGGCGGCTCCCTGGGCCCCGCGTGTGGTGTCCGTGCCGTCGTGGGGGCAGGGGCCCACGGCCCCTGCCCCCGGCCTTTATGTTGCGGGCGCCCCGCAGCCCCAGCGCCGCGCCAGCCCAGCACTCGTTTTGCACGCGGTCAACGTGGAAACGGCCGCGCCGGCCGGCACCGAAGCGCCCGCGCCCGCCATCCCAATACAGAGGCTGAGGCGCTCCTGGCGAGCTTGGGAGTCAAGGAGCGGCGGCAGGTGCTCAAGGCGCTGGAGAAGAAGCGGAAGAGGCATGAGGAGGCCGAGAGGCTCGAGCAAGCGCGGCGCGTGCTGGCGGCGGCTGGTTACGACCCTGATGCTGTTGGGGGCGGAGTCGGCGGCGGCGGATCAAGCAGCAGCAGCAGCAGCAGCAGCGGCAGCGGCAGTGACAGCGGTGCCGAAGAGCGGCCTCGAAAGGGGGAGGGCAAGCAGCAGCGGAGAGAGAGGAGCGGCGGCAAGCGCAAGCGGCGGCACAAGCATGAGCGGCGGGAGGGCGAGGGC